CCCAAACTTCCATTGTCCCATAAGCCATTACCATGGCAGTAACCGATTACTAATTAGTATGCGATAATGTTTATCTTAACGAGGGGATCATTTGCTATGCCGCTGATAATGTCATCGGAGTGTTTTCATACTGTCGGTGACTTTGTTTTGGTAAAGAACTCAAGGAACACTCTGGGGTTCTAGAAAACAAATGAGATGTTAACATCTTTGTAGGCCTATGGTTTAAATAAGTAAATCTAGTAAGGGTAATCTAGTATAAATCACACAGTGGTTAACAGATTCTGCGGAGTTATAACCAAAATAACCTACTAATCGTTTTTTTATATAATGAAGAATTGTTTATATATAAAAACTATAAATGAAAGAGATGCAGAAGTCTGACTCCGCTGCCGGTATGGAAAGTGCCTATACCGACACCAATTTCGACGTTTATTTTTCGATTTAGGTCTTCTCCGCTTTCGCTTCCTTCCGGGTTATTAATTGTTCCCTCAGCATTAAAAAAAAATTGTTGCGCTACAACCTTGTTAGGTCTGGGCCTTAGATTTCTGTATCTCTTTCATGATCATTTGTCAACCTAATAGGCAAGAAGGTGATCCTGTGCCTGACACACGCCGTCTACTTTTAAGGTCTAAGGCAAGCCGGTTTCCTCACGTTTATTCCTTCACCGTTCGAGCTAATGTTAAATGCGCACATAGAAAGTCCATTGGAGGATGGGGTTCGAATCTACGACCTCAAGGATCAGATTCGCGTGCTCAAGCCACAAGGCCAACTCTGCTCGTTGAAATTTAAACTTTACTAAGCCTAATTCACTTTCGACTATCTTAAAATAAGAAAAAAGTTTGCTACACTAAATTAGATATTGTAATTTTTTTACCAAAACAAATAACGTTTGACAACATAAGATAATGAGCTGAATACAATGAGATCAGAGCCATCAATCGTACCTATTATTCCTGAAACCTGCCATTTATCACAGCTTTCCAATATTATTTACCCACGTTTACGTAAACGAATACTCGCAAATTGGATTACTAAGACCGTAGAGGTGATACCTAATTGGTGTTATTACGTACACTGAATACTATATATATCACAGCTATATACATAATTGTATGAGAAAACGCTTAGTGTCCGTTACATGTTATTTTAAGATTTATATACGAATTTATAAAACAACTAGCTGACCGGGCAAACGTCGTTTTGCCATATACATATATCATTTATAATAAAAAAATAGGGGTTGATCGTAGAGGGGTGAAAGTTAGGGGTTTGTATGTATTTTTAATGCTGTATCATAAAAAAATAAAAACAGAAAAAAATATCTAAAAATAAAAAAAATATATTTAGGGGTGGACTACCCTTAACATTTAGGGGGATGAAAAATAGATGATGTCCGATTCTCAGACATACACAATAAGCACACAAAATTTCATGAGAATCGGTCAAGCCGTTTCGGAGGAGTATGGCAACGAAAACTGTGACACGAGAATTTTATATATTAGATTATAAATCGTTTTTTTTTCATACATACATATACGAGTCCCAAAAATTCGATTTAAATATTATGCACAAAATAAACAATAATTGTTTTTAAAGCTTTAGTAATTAATTCATACAGTAATTGTTTACTTAGTATTTGCGTTAGAGTAAGTTCTATAAATAAAGGTTAGTTTTGTTAGTGTTCTAGTATTTGTGTAAGGCCCCTTTTAGGGTAAAAGCCTACTCCATATATTAAATTTCACTTTAATTTAATATTATTGTCAATAATTACCACATGATAACTGCAATATGAGTTTTGTATTAGAGTTTAAAATATGAATATCCAAAAACTCTCTGTTCTAAAAATTCGTTTTTTCGCCCAATAAGACAAGATTTAATGCCTTTTTTCGTGGATTTTATTTCCAAAATCAAATAATTCTCTGAGAACCCATAACACTTGCAACGTTGCACCATATAACTATCAGTTAAACATAATAATCCCGTATAACCACGACAACTTTCTTCGAAAACCTGGATGATATATGAAAATTAATGTATCCATGAAAAATCTTTATAAAGAAAGCAATAAAGCGTCCTAGGACGAAGTAACATGATTTAGCTGTCTCATCTTTTTATCAAAATTAATGAACTCTTTGATCTTAGAAGTCAAATAACTGACAAAAATCACTTTAATAATATATAATAATAATTAAGATTCATTTATTCCTTGAAACATTCATCCATCTATACAATAGATACACACACTAAAAATTCAGATTTTTATTTTTCAAGAACCTTTTAATAGAAGAGAGGCCTCCTCCAACTGGCTTCATCTCTCTATATATTTAGCATTTTTATCCCAATCTTCTTCACCAACTTCTTTAAGAGGTTCCTCTCGTTCTTTTCCCAGGTGGCCCGTTCCACCTTGTGACCCTGTTTATCCATCTTTTACTGTCCATGCTAGCGGTGTGGTCCATTTCCAGTTAAGTATTTTGCAATGGGATAGTGCATCAACTTTTGGTTCCTTCTTCTGTACTTCTTATCTTGTCCTTTAGTTTTAAATCTCAATATAAAACCTATTAATAACAAATCAGCTGCTACACTTATATACTCTTATGGGGCATCCACACGCTGGCTGTTTGTCACAAACACCGCAAAAAGCAAACGAAGTCCCAAACACCAACCACAATCACCCAACACAAACAGCCATCCACATGCTTGGCGAACGTTCATAACATTCCGAATCGGCAAACATGGCGGACGACGAGCTTGTTGCAGCTATTACTTTCGGGTTGACATATTTTTATTATAAATTAAAGCAAGAGAAAGAAAAAAGGAAAAAAGAAGAAAGCAAAGACGATGGTGGATGATTAAAATACATAGAAAGCGTACAAGGCTTTAGACCTATTATTTGAGCTTTACTTTGCCGTGTTTTTTTAATTTTACTTAAAAGTTACTTAAAAATGTCAGAATCGTAGGTGCTCCAATCAGACATTTTTTACGCTTTGCGCGCCAACGAAAGTGTAGCAAGTAAATACGTCCGCCTCCCGCAAGCTCGCGCGCATACTGATCGCTGCCAAACGTGTGGATACGTAGCAAACTGTTTGCCAAACATCCTTTGATCTGGCAAGATAAACCGACACCGATGCCGAACACTGCCCAACACGAACACAAACAGGCAAACAACGACAAACACCCATCCACACGTCCGTGTTTGCTGTTTGCTGTTAGCTGTTTGCCATTGTTTGTCAAGCGTGTGGATGGGCTCTTAGATAGCCATCTGTTTCATTTATCAGTTGCATTAACTACCTGTCATGTATCAACATATTGATGTGTTTAATTGTAAGTGAATGCATATATTTTATTTATTTATTTAGTACTGCTACAGCAAACTAAAATTATATAAAACAAAAAACAATTGTACTAAAGATATAGCCAAGCATGGAATATATTAAACATATATACATATAATCAATAAAATTTATTAAATATTTTTATTTTTATTGTTACATAAATATTCTTAGTAAATAAGTTGTAAATCCGTTCGATGTCCTAAAACTATGTTGTATGTTTCTACCACATGGTAAGTGGAAAAAATAGGACACAAGAACAGAGTGTCTTTCCTTGAATAGAGCATGTAAGTAGTGTTATTGGACACTTTAATTACAGTCAAAATCTGTTATAACGACATCGAAGCAACTCCTCATATTTGGTCGTAAAAACCGATAGTCGTAACAGCCGATGAGGTTGCTATTAAGTACCTAATACAATAGAATTCAGCCGGGACCTTTGATTTTGGTCAAAATAACCTGTATGTTGTTCTACGATGTCGTCGTAATCGGTTTTGACTGTTTCCTTATTAGTAAATTAGGTTAGACCTAAATTACTTATTAGTCTAAAGTTAGGCTAAATCGTAATGTTAAATGATGTCTTTGTGCAGAGACAATTTATATATTTTTTTTAATAAATATTTTTATAATAGGCATGTCGGAAACCACATGTCAAAAGTTAAACTTCAGAGTCAAGACTAGCGTCAATTCATTTGGGTGTCATGTCCCATATGTCAAAAAAAGTATTGACTTATGACATAGTTTGTGATAAATCTCTAATCTTGCGCTAAGACCGGCTTACGAGGAAGTTAATTACGCAAAACAAATTTCACGCAGAGCCGAGTTCGACACGACCAAAAGCCACAACAAACGCTCAAAGCTTGTACTGGCCGAACGATGAAAACGTTTTTATCGTCTGTGCAATGTTCAGTAGACCCTGACCGTTATGGATTCTTGTGTAGAGACCGATAAAATCGAACGCATTGTGGGCACTTGGACAAGGGCCAAAAGGCGGATGTCTACGACACATTGCCAAGTACATGTAACATGTAATCGATATTAATTGATCATATTCCAAAATTGAGAACTCCCGGATTATGTTATCTCAAATCAATCAATTTCAATCGAATATTGGCATCGCTTTTATTACGTATAATATGTATTTAACAGATTCGTAGACAGGGTTATTTTTTACCTTTAATAATAATTTTACCTTTTATTTCAGATATTGCACTTAAACACATTTATGTTTCTATCTCCTTCTTTTAGGTATATGCGTGCCCTTTGTCGGCAAAGGCCTCATCACCCCACCATTCCTGTCTGCAATGTACCACTCTCTGCCATGTACCTGCTGTTTTCTTCATTTGGTTTATCAACCTTCTAAATTGTCTTCCTCTTTCGCGTTAATTGTACCTTGGGGACCATTTTGATACTTTCTTGTTGTCTGTTCCTCCTGCCATGTACTCCGCCCATTTCCGCTTAAGTTTATTTATTTTTATTGTAACGTGCTACCTTAGTTATTCTTGATGATGTATATAACATCAATTGCTTTATATTAAATTACATATATAAATCAAAAATGATGTCTAATATTCTTTTGTTTTATAAATATATGTGTAGTATGTTTTTCATTAGCCAATCATTCTATTGTCTTAACACTTTACGACTTAACCACAAAGCCTTAATAGAACCTTACCTGACTTGTTCGTGCTTCTGTATGTAGATCTTATGAAACTGGCCTTCAACAGGTGAAATGATGTCATTTTTCATCTCCATGGCAACGTGTTGTGGTAGAACAGATAACAGCAACCTTTCCTACAAAGAACAAGTACTATTTATATTATATATCTAAAAATAGATTCACTTTATTGCATTTAAACGGCTTCCAGCTAAAGACAAATGACTGTAAAAACGATCTATTGTAAAGACTAAAGTGTATTTTTATCGACATAATACAGTATAACGTCTTACATTTCACTGAAGGACTCATTCGTCTCCCTCTGATAAATTATTGTTTGTGCTGTGACTAAAAGGAACAGAGAAGCGTTTTAGGTATAACAGACGGATATATGAAAAGCAAGTGTTTATAGAGTTGAGATTTAGACTGGCAATGCCCTGTACAAGAGCACTATAATTCCTAGAATAAATTACGCTTAAACCGTATTCAAACGTACATACATTTTGAATTTAATATCAGAACTATCCTTTTCGCTTTGCAGCAAGCACGATCTATTTATTAATTGATTATTCTACTAACCAGCTTTTCGTTCTCGTCTTCCATATCAAGACGGGCAGCTATGCAGTTCCGTGTGTCGAGGAAGGCTCGTCTCTGGGCGGTTTCCATCAATGAATGCATCAAGGCGCCCACCACGTTCACGCAAATAAATACGACTATATTGCCCATCATCTATAATAAAAAAATAGGAAATATAAGAATAATTAAAAGGGCTGTCTAGGGGTTAAGTGGTTAAGTACATTCAAACATAAGTTGCACGTTCGATTACCAGAATCAATCGTAACACTGTCAATAAACCCTATCTTGACCAATCTGACGTATCAGACACAAAAGTCACTTTTTTGTTTTTAAAGAACGGGGCAAACGGTTAGGAGGGCTATTGTTAAGTGATACCGCCTATGAACACTCTTAATGCCAGAGGGCTCGCGACTGCGTTGCCGCCCTTCTACATGCCTATTGGGATGATTAATGAAACGGCTGTAGTTATGCTCTGTGCCCCATTTTAATAATTCTGCTAACATAGGTCTTAAGAAACTATTGTTCTTGAATGATGAATAAAATTATTATTACATATTATTATTATTGGAGGCCTCAGGGAGATACGAGACTTCAAACATTCGTTAATGAAGCTTACTAAATTTACGAAAAACTAAAAATCTAAATTCTTTTGATTTAATGTCGTTAATTTTTATAAACATTTTCATGTATTAAATTACATTAATTATATATATTTTAGGATGTACACAGCTTAAATATTCGAAAAGAAATACGGGGATATTCAACAAAGATCGCAAAATCGGAATAGATACACAATTATCAAAATCTCAAATTAATTGAGGAACAAATTCACCTAATTGGCCGTACGAATTCGTAAATAACGTTGACACGTGATATTAACAAGATCTTCGCGCTCATATAATAGGTAGCTTCAAACATTTCAAATTAGCTTCCATTGAACGAGAGTCCCATTATAATACGTTCAAAAGACGAATATTTATCGAGTGTAATTGAATTTCATATTCAGGTTCTGATGAATTCAATTTATTGGAAATGACGAATAAATTATATTTCATATTGTTCTTTATTTTTGTTATGCGTTGTATATGTGAATGTAAGTAATCAATCATTTTAGTGTTTCGATAAAACAGTTGGGGAAAAAAATATGAAAGTCCTTTCAAAATCATACATCATCAAATTATGCTAGAAAGCAAAACACTATAAGAAAATATCGAAATCGCTTTAATGTGGCTAATATAATGTGACTAGCATAGCATAATTTTGAACAAAAAAACATCACTTTCCTAATGTAGTTTTCGAGTAATTGAGGAACATATTAAGAAACAAATTCGATGAATTGACAACATCCTTTGAAGTCAGATTAAACAGTTAGAAACGAATTAATAGTTTAAAACTTCTTGTTATGATTTAATATTCGGTAGAAAAAATCTCAAAAAAGTGTCGACTAATTCTGTGTGCATCCATATTAATTGGTCATAGATTTTAGATAAGCGAAAATGGTTAATCAATACATTATAAACACAGAAACTGCCATAGCTAATAGCTACTAAAGATAACGATCATCAGCACTAACGTCAAACATTGACAGCGGCGAATAGATCAATTTGACAGCTGACAATTCACATGCTGGCTGATTGATCATGTTCCATTTGCAGAATAATTTTTACTGGCCATTTGTTTGTCGATAGTAGATTAGATGAATAATTCATATTTAATCGATGTGGACATAGCTGATGTCTTTATCTGATACGTAATAAATCAGAGGTCTGACCCCCGAATACGGCAAGAGGCTTACGAAGTGCGAAATCCAGATATAGACTTTTTCCTTAGTTTCAGATTACGTCTGTTTGTGGTAATTTTAAAGGCGAAAATTTTAAGAAAAACTAGTTGATTCAGACTAATTAAGATTTATGAGTAAGTTTTGTGGAGATGATTGATGAATGAAATTCAGAACTGGATATTGAGTCAAGAATAAAATATTATTTAGTAAGTAGTGTGTATAATTCTACTGTACGTGTGTATGTCACTGAACTCCTCTTAACGGCTGGAACGATTTTAATGATTTTTTTGTATACGTTTGGGTGGCGCCCTGATTAGATTCACAAATCAGCCCGGCAGATAGCACTTCAGTCAGTTTCTAGGTTATTTATCTATACTGTAGGACAACATTTGTTGGGTCCGCTAGTTTATATATAAAAGACAACTCGCTATCAATCATTTTAATCGCAAGGTATTTACAAGTATTACAACATATTCCACATGACATTTGATTATATCTGCATAATTACGTATTAAAAGTATTCATTTGTTTATTTCTATTTCACTTTGAATACATTGGTGAAGTGTTCAACAAATTAATGTTATCTAAAACGCAAACGAGTTCTAAAAAGGGGAAACGAGAGATGTATCGGTAAATGAGTACAATTAGGCTCCCTGTCACGTACCAACTTCCCTAATAACACTCCTGTACACTTCTAACTTGAATATCATGAACAGGAGCTGTATTCGCCCAATTTGTTTACTTTTGTTGCGTCAAAGTAGAATTAAGAACCCAGAGCTGGAGCTTTCCTGAATGAATAAGTATTGCAATACAGCGAGGAAATGCTGCCATCATTAAAGGTGCCACAGGGACCAAACTTTTTAAATTCGTTTTGATTATCTATTTATTAATTTTTTACTATCAATAATTACTATATAGGTTAAGAATATTCTAAATACTGTATATTTGATTGTTATGTTTAGGTTAATAAACGAAATGCTGTAATAGGATATAGAAAGTTTTATTAATAATATATATTGATTAAAGATTTAAGTTGGCGCCTGGTAGATGTACGATGAACGAATAAGTATCGCAATACAGCAAGGAAATGCTGCTAGCTTTAAAGGTACACTGCCACAGGGACCATTAATTAACATTAATGATAATTATTATAATGACTATGTAGGCTAAGCAGTGTTGGCCTAGTGGCGTGCGACTATCATCCCCGAAGTCGTAGGTTCGAACTTAGGCAGTGCACGTATGGACCTTATTTCTATGTGCGCATTTAAGATTTGCTCAACGGTGAAGGAAAACATCGTGAGGAAACCGACATGACCCAAAAAAGTCGACGGAGTGTGTCAGGCGCTGGAGGCTCACCTACTTGCCTATTCGATTGAAAAATGATCATGAAACAGATTCAGAAATCTAAGGCCCAGACCTAAAGAGGCTGTCGCGCCACTGATTTTTTTTTATGTAGGATAAGAATATTGTAAATACTCACATTAATTATATACATATATACTATTTTAAACTTAATTATATATTATTTTAAACGTTTTATCTGATCTATGACAATCTCTACATTAATATAGACAAAACAGCCCAAACAACGCAATATTCTCGTAAAGAGAAATTCTTATATTGCGTAGATTCATCGCCCCATGCCGTGTTAATCTAGCTAGGGCGGTCATTTAGGGACCAACATAAAAACAATCTGTGTACACGGAATATATATTGTATATGTTCTCATATAGCATACAAATTACAAATAAAATTGTAATTTCTCGTGTCTCTTAAAGAGAAGATATTTTTACTTAATCGTGGTGACATATTTGAAAAACCTACAGATCTATATTTCCTTGTTGTATATGTAGGCCTTAAGGATTTGTAAGTATCCGACAGCATACTATTTAAATTAACCCCTCAGTTTTAAGTAAAATACTCGTCCATCTCTTTTCATGACAGCGTAAATTTTGATAAAAGTATTTGATCAATAAATATACGTTGCAGAGTTGATATGTTGTTTATATGTGCAAACAATTTTGTTTTCGTTTTTTCTAAAGACAGTTTGACAGAAAGGGTCAGGGACGAATACTTGTTTTAACAGTGTGCAAGTACAAGAACTTTTGTTAAAAGATTTATAATAAGGGGGTAATAGCTTATAATAAGAATCTAACACCTGATATTAATAATTAATATTAACATTACATCTCATTTAGTATCGCAATACGCTGAAACAACTCGTCATTATCAGTTCTACTTAGGGTTTGATTAAACAATAATATTCGCTTATCACGAATAGAAACCTTGTCTTGTCACCAAAGCTTCGTCTATTCGCCTCAGAAACGTTGATTAATAAAACCGGCCCTTGTTTTTGTAATAGAAATAATTATGTTGCCTATATAATGAGGTAATATATGCCTGCACAGAGCAGTTTTATGCGAAACCAGATTTCTAGTAGCCTGAGATTTCTAGTTACACGTTGTATTGACAAAACATTCCTAAAGTTCATTCATTTATTTTCAAAAAAACTCTTTTACATGAACATTTCTTAACCATATCCTATCCTGCTCAATCCTGACTTTTGTATTTCTTACTCTTTTGCATTGCATCGCAATTCATGAATCCGTGAGATTAGCTTTTTAGTTTACAGTTTATTATATTAATTTTTTTGTATTATTTTTTATTCAAGTGCTATATTTTTTTTATAAGATTTGTTTATGCACTTCTTGCACTTTACCCTTACCCATTACCTATATATATATTTTAGTTTTTTTCCTTACTGGGGTTACCAGGAAGAGATCGCTTGTTAGCCATAAGGCCGCCCGTTGCATTCCTTATAATTTGTATTATGTTATTTTGTTTTTGTATAAATGTAACGAAGTGTGAATAAATAAATAAATAAAAATAATAAGGTAGTTTAACTTAAAGGAAATTTTAGGTGTGATTAAGGATAGAACAATCTTATATATTTACTAGTGGACCCCACAGACGTTGTCCTGCATGATATTTAAAGCGATTAGGATATTAAGCAAAGCATGAAAGTACCGACTGCAGTGCCATCTGCCGGGCTGATTTGTGAATCTAAACCATTCCCAGATCCCCTTGAACACACACAAAAAATTTCATCAAAATCGGTCCAGTCGTTTGAGAGAAGTTCAGTGACATACACACTCACAGAAGAATTATATATATAAAGATTTGTCTAATTTCTTCTACCCTAAAATCATTATAAAGAAATGGCCCTATGTTGTTGTAAGCGATAAATAGGTAATTCTTCTCGATATATGCGTTTATGAAAGATACTAGCGACCCACTCCGGCAACTGAGACCCGTAAATCTTGAAAAAATATTTTTATTTTAATAAGGCACACTAACGAAATACATACAAACA